CATCCGAACTAGTTTCATTTTTGCGTATACTGTGTAAACAGTCACGTAAATGGATTAATAAGAAATTAATGTTATAATTTTGAAAATTTGAATAATCGTCACCAGCGTTATCGAGATTGACTTGTTGCTTAAAAAATAAAGTTATATGATAATGAATATCAATGAAGCTAACTAAGCTACTATAAAGTTTGTCATAAAATTCTTGATTCAAAACAATAGACGAATAGATGACTTTTTCAAGAGTTGTCACCCAAGTGCGAAGATGTAATTCGAAATGTGCAATGATATCTTCAGTATAATAATCAAATAAAGAGATATCACTTAATAGTTTAAGTGCGTTGATCAATAGTTTTGCAGGAAACTTTAACGTAGGATCTTCGACCAAAAGTTTAAATCCAAATAAATTGGATGGTTCGCTAAAATCTTTCATTAAATCATTAGCCCGGCTAATGGCTCTCTTTGAATAATCAAGTTTTTCAGTGATAGAGTTGGAAACCGTTCCATTATAATTATTTTGTATTATCTGATAAAAGAGATATATGTTCGTTTAGTAAGTTACATTTCATGATTTTGTTGTCAAATAAAATACTTTAAGTGTCATATGATTTATTCTTACTTTCGATGTGTTCGATCTTTGGATATTCAATTTTTCTTTCATTTTTTTTCTTAAAGCCAATCAATCACTTTACAATAATGTAAAGGGTTGTTTATTATTAAGAAATAAAGAAATAAGAAAAAAAAAGGTGAATTTGTTTAAATAATCTCGAATATTCTGATTAGTCAAACATTTTTTCTGTATCTCTAAGATGCATGTTTTTTTTTTCATCATACACTTTGCAGAATGCTATTCTTGATGTACTATTTCTGACATATTACTTTATAGTATTCCTTATAAGGAGATAAAGAGGAGATCAAGAACGATAGTTTTTTTTAAGTTATTATAATTCATGCATTATCAAGATGTTTCAAATTGGCGAGAACAATATGTGCGCTAGTAAATCACACCCAAAAAAAACTAATATTCGGAAATAATAAATAATGTAGATCATGCAAATCTTTCCAAATTTTTCTAAAAAAACAAATGCGAAACACCGAATCCCCGAAACCCTCAAGTCCAAACTTGGGAGAGTAAAATCACATGATAATAAACCAATAAGGAGATTGATTTCATTGTAAGAACCAATCACGAAATTGTATATAAAAATTTAAATGTTTTCCAAATTTATCATTTTGCGTTTTTTGATATTAAAAGTCTTTTTTAAGTTTTATTGTCGGAGCAAAGGTATTACGTTCTATGGTGGTGAATAATAAAATAGGAATTTTTATTTTCGTCTGGAACGAAGCAGGGGATGTTCTTTAAAAGATATGTAGCAGTAGCAAAAAAATGTGTTCAACCGAAAATCTAATGCATTTCTCAGCTGGGGTCCTGGACACGATAAATTTTTTTAGTATACCTAAAACTTCTTTATGCATTTGTTTCCGCTCCATATATTTCAGCCAATTACTGTAGCATTGATTGCATGTAAAAATGATCTCGCATGCCTGAAAATTTTTATGATTGATCTGTGATTATTATTGCATTGGACCATATTATACATTATTAATTTTCAATTAAAATTTACTGTGCAAATACTGCACAATTTATAAACTTTTTCTGTGCAGAAAATATATATGAACGACCATTTGCAACAGTGCGCACAATTAAATTTTTTCTGTACGACATCCATAAATCTATCCAAAAAAAAAGTGCTTATAATTTCGTTTTCGTGTGCTACACTCAGTCCGCACAGCGAAAGATACTCACTAGTCACAACATATCCGGTATATTTGAAATCACAGTACATGATACTACATATAGTGGGACGATGCAAGATACGTATTATTAAACAAAACAATTCTCCTACATTAACGATGCACATTTTCCTAATTATTGCTTCATTGCTAATAGAAATAACAATAAAGTTCTAAAAGTAGAATTATTTAAATAAGAGTAATGTATGAAAAAATTGGCCAAGACGATTTTGATACTATGATACACGAGATTATGATTTTAGTAAACGAAACATAATGTGAAAACGCAATTTAATATTTTTGCACCAACATCGTATTGTTAATTAACAAATTACTGTTGTCAACTAAAGGTAGACCTTCGGCGTAGCCAATAAGTATCCAAAATTATCAGTTATAGA